GCTTTACATTACTGTACGGGGGACTTTACCAGACTGCTAAGCAGTTTACAATCAAATAAAGGCGAATACAACATATGCCCCCTCCCCCGAATTCCCGGTAACCAGGCCATACCACATCACAGTAATCTCGTGAAGTGGGTTCTTTAACGTCCCCTGCCTAACCAAATTAACTAATTAATAGATGCAGGAGACGGGACCTCCATACATTCGTCCCTATAAATTTGCAGGATTTGTGGAATACCGCCCGCTCACGAACTGAGGAAAAAATTAATTTATTTAAGACATATTAGTGAATAAAACTGGTTAGCGACAGAACTGACTTCCGGTGTGGAAACACTTCCGATGTCGTAAAACGTTAGTCATTTGTTAAATGACTGGTGGTCGAAATTAGCAGTTCTTTACAAAAGCGTCATTATGAAACATTACAGCCAAATTCGCGCGATTAGTTCATTTTATAAACGACATTCCAAAATATTTACCGTCAACCGGCAAATGACCTGAAATTTAACCGTCAACTGTCTTTAATCATCAACTGTCAACGTGGGTTCTCCCATTGAGCCCCTCTGTAAGGAGTTCCTTTCAGATACACTGGGGCCAGAATAAAAGCTGGGTGACCACCACTTTTTTTGTAATGTTCTAACTTGTGTTTGTGTTTCCACCTTATTAATGATTACATTGCTTAATTATCTAATTCATGTTTTGGAAAAGCTCCTTTAAACGCTCGTTGTCCCCCTTATTTACTTTAATCACTTTTGTTCCACATAAAGCAAAAGGTCAACATTCGCGGCTCTAGTTCTCAAAAGAATATCCGAAAAACATGAATGAGTTTGCTAAATCAACTAATCATTCACTAATCAAGTTACATATACTGTAATACGATGAATACTATAACGTCGCAGTAACATATCAAAAGATAATTTGACTTGTGTTTGCTGGTAGTTTAATACCTATCAATGTTTTTTATTTATTCACATGCGTTTTTATTTCTTTGTAGAAGCTGATGCTTCACCGATGCCCCATAGTTTGGCAATCCCCCGAGGTGTATCTTTTACATTCACTTTTTATTGCTCAAAATCACCATTACAGCATCAATACTTTCCTCATTAAAATCTCTTGTTTTCTTAAATTTAATTTCCTCCTAAATATTTCGAGTTAAAAGTCAGCTGCCATTATTTCGATATCTTAAAAAGTCTCTGCATCCGTCCGTAGAGTGTTTCAATTATGTTTTTTGAATGATTATGGAAGGCTATCCTTTTACCAGAAAGGATCTGCCTGCAAAATAAGTCAAAAGATCACGTTGTTAATCATTTGGCATTGCCCAGGCACAATTTAATGTTGAGCCAGAAATGATATTTTAGCGATAGTGAAGAATTCTAATTATGATGTCTTTCATTGACTTATTGTCACTATTTATATCTATATTTCAAGTGTTCTTACAAAAAATGCTCAAGAAATTTTATCACTTACGAATTCTTTTTGAGGTTATGGTATGTCACTTAATTTCACAAAGATTCATGAGCTTATGAACAAGAAAAAGAATCAAGTTGTGGCGGGCGAGGCAAGTATATATTAACTTCCAGAATAATGATTGTGTCTTTCTGGAAACATTCTACCACCATTGACCGAGTTTTAACTAGCATATCGTAGTTTTTATTCAGTGCTGATATTCAGTTGTAGACAAGTGAAATCATCGGCAACATTTTCGTCGCAAACAATTTAAAATGACAATGCATAGTTGAAATCAATTCTTCAAAATTCAGAATTGATAATCTATTAAGGGAAAATATGGAACGATCATTATTTATTAGCTCCAGAAATGGAAGCAAGAAGATTGCTTGAAATACCTGTGAAAGGTTTTTTTGAAACTGGTTGTGGGTACACTAGCTCATGATGGTTTGCAAACAGAAACTTAACATGTGTATGAGATTGAGCCTTACGACGAATAAACATTCTTACCTTTTAACCGAACAAACCAACGTAGCAAAGTAGCAAAACCTGCATGGCTCTGGTTGAAAGTGCTGCTCCCTTATCAACATTACCCCAAATCACGTCATTGAAAAGAGAAATTAGACAAGATGTGGAGTTCATCGGTGATATTGCAACAAGCCAATTAGTGAATGTTGCAGGAGTTTTTTCGGTCTGTCATTTTTCTCTGAAATTGTGTCACGAGTACATTTTCTCCGCCCTCTGAAGACTTGTCTTCGTTGTGAAGCAAGATATGTTCTTTATATTATGGTAGCTGACAAGGTTATTAGGCCTATGTCACGAGTGTCTACGGGTGAATTACAGTGTAATCGCGTCGAAGGGGCTGGTCGAATAAACATGATTTTTCATTCAAGAAGCTTAATTCTCATTTCAAAGGGGGGGAGGGTTACTAGAATGGTCGCCTCCACCGGGGTTGGTCCGATTGGCGAAGATGTGAGAGAAAGAAAATGACTGAATTTGATCTGTTATAGCAACAAATAAGTGGTTTTCTGGGTTCATTTCCACAATACGTATAGGTGTGCTTTTAAGGAAGTTCAGTTTTGAAACTTTATACGTAATCGAAACATTAAAAATAATTATCAATTAATCATCGATACATGGATCATGTCAGTTCATGATGAAACACGTCAAGTGTTTTTACTTGAGCTTTTCATATATTTGTTTGTTCTTTTTTATATAACAGGGACCTTTTTCCTTGAAAAACAGGGTAAAAGTGTACGTGCAAGGGAATTCACTCCAGATCGACACTACAGCAGGTGTGTTATTGTATTGTGTCATTTATGAAGTCCAAGAAACACCACTCTTTCCACTATCCACGCAGAGCTAACTTTTAATAATTTTTCGTGAGCATTTACGCATCTACAGATGTAATAGTCTTATTAGTACCTTTGGATATGTTGTAGCTTTGGGTCCATAGCTGTAGTTTAAAGAAGAATGCTCCTTGCGGCCATGTATAT